CATCCTCCAGAACCTCTCTTTCAACTACTCTACCAAGCAAGGAGTTCATTCCTTATTTTCCTAAAAACATCAGACCAAAATGATCTCATCAAGTTGTCTGTCCTACCAGATAGCATAAGCTAGTAAAAAATTAGCCAAAATCACATTTTCACTTTCAAGCTCCTTACATCATTAGAGGCAAAATTAACATGTTTAGAATTAAATTAATACAAGGGACTCCTTTCAAAAGTAATAGAGCAATATAAACAGAAGTTGCTGGAAAAGCTTAGCAGGTCTGGCAGCACCTGTGATTAAAAAATCAGAGTTACTGTTTCGCATCCAGTAACTCTTCCTCAGAACTCTAATCTTTTCTTCACAGATATTGCCAGACCTGCTGAGCTTTTCCAGCAACTTCTGTTTTTGTTCCTAGTTTACAGCATCTGCAGTTCTTTTGGTTTTTAATAAAGTGACATATCGGTTCTTGTCTAAAAGTTGTGAGTGAAAAGAATGGAACATGTCAAGCTGAGTGTGCTGGGTTACTGTCTGAACCAAATCTTTCAAAAAACTTGTTTTGTGACTTGGCATCAATTTCAGCATAAAATGTTATAACATCAAGGATTTCAATGCTTTAAAGGACCTTTGTGCAATTACAAATAAATTCATATTCCACTTATTCAGGCACAGTAGATTTTTATAGATTATCCAGTAGTTAATGCTGCCTTTTTTTTAATCCAATCCAAAGCCTTTACGTATCCTCTCCATAAATAGCACCTGTCATTTAAAGACACTTTGTGCAACTTCAAATTTTGTCATTGAGCAAACAGCTCGGTTACTGAGCTGTGACTTTGATTCAGCAACTTTACAAACGTGATACCAACAGTGTTTCTTCAGATTAGTTCGTAAGTAAATGTTTTACACTTATTTTGAAAATGATAAAAAATTATGAATGCCTGAAAATAGACTTTAGTTTTGAGTTCATTAACATAAATGAGTTTTAAATTCAGTCCTTCATGAACTTTCTAGCTTAAGACCACTGAAACTCTTCCCAATGATTTTATTAATTCTACATTTGGCTTTTCCAATGCCCTTCAATAGCTTCTTGCACTTGTACCCCAGCCACATCCCTCAGTCCTCTATCCCAGTCTACATTAATTTGGCATTAACTTGTTTTATGAGCTCCTTGGATACCAAACTCTCATTGTATCCTCCAACACAGTCCCACCTGACTCCACAGTTTCCTTCAGGTCACCTTCCCAGCTGAATGTCTACGTCTGGACTGCAGTACACTCTCTGCTCCACCATTTACCATTAACTTTTCTCCTCACCTCTTTATAAAACCCACCCTATATTTCTAAGTCTTCTAAATTGCAAGAGTTTTCAGAGCTCTGAGATGCAGAGCGACCTGGCTGACCTCATGAATTGTGTATTATTGCAAACAAGGCTGAAATTCCCCACTGCTAGTTGCCCCAAAGGGAAATTAAGAGTCAACTTTGGGGTCCCATTTCTCTTTTAGATAACAAAGAAAAGCATTTTATAAAAGCACAGAAAATTACAACAAAGAAAGGGGTCTCTCAGCCCATTGTATCTGAACTGGTTGAATAAACTCATCACCTATTCTAATCCCACCTTTTAGCACATAGTCCTCAACCTTGCAGATCAAAGCGATTCAGGTGAAGATCCAGGTTCCTTTTAAACAAGTTGAAGGGATTCCTTCTCAACCAAAAGCCGGGCAGCAAATTCTAGACACCCACCTCCCATTGGGTGAAAATGTTTTTTCTCATGTTCTGTCTCATTCTCTTACTAACCACCTGTCTTTCTCATTGTCTCTCTTGACCTGTCAGGAAATGTAAATTCTTGCTTGAAATGGATGCAATATCAGTCTTAGGGAGAAAAATTTTAAAAAGGCATGAAGGTGGTTCACATGTGGAATTAACTTCCTGAGGAAGTGGTGGATGTGGGTACAATTAAAACATTTGAAAGACATTTGAATAAGTACATGATTAGGAAAGGTTTGGAGGGATATGGGCCGGGAGCATGCAACTGGGACTATTTAGTTTGGGATTATGTTCAGCATGGACTGGTTGGACCAAAGGGTCTGTTTCCATGTTGTATGACTCTAAGACTATGATAGACCATAGAACTTGCCTAAAGTTGAGGCACCAAACAGTCTTTATAATGCAGCTGGCCAGTTATGCAAGGGAATTTGGGCCTCCATTCCAAGCTGGGTGTCAGCAATGAAAATGAAAATCAGGGGAGTTCTAAAATAACTTACCAATACATTAGTGGCGATTTAACATCATTGCCCAAAGTCACAAATAGATGCACAAATGTTATCTCAATTAATAGTTGAAAATTCATCTAACTTTTATAAAAAATATTTTTGAAAACCCATCAAAAAATATAATCTTAGAGCCTGAAGAGAAATCTTCTGTTAATTTGAAAATTAATTGCTATTACTGCAATGTGGAAAATTGTGCCAACTGCATGTGCTCAGAGCAAGCTTCATTCATCAGCTAACTTCTTCAGCTTTAGGTTAAAGGATTAAGTTCATCCCCAGTTATGATATTAATGGACACAAAATATATTGGGCAATGTTTAAACTATCGAGAGATATATTATTAAATAGGTCTAGATTTTCCTGTTTGCATGTCCAAGTCCGAAAGCAGGACAGATGAATAGGCAGCTGTGGCCTTCCTTGTACAGATAGCTCGGTTATTACTTTTGATGCATTTATTTTGGTAATGTTCTTCATTTAAATATTCATAAATTTTATTTACTAAAACGAAAAAAGTGCTTTTGCCCTGTCAAGATCCTGGGACAATTCAAAGCATGGTTGGAGGAAGATATAGCTGCCAATTTGCACTCAAGTTAGTCTTCACAAATAGTAATTATTAAATGACCAGAATACTTAAGTTTTGGTGATATTGATAAAGTGTTAAATGTTGGCCTAACAACCAGGAGAATTTCACACACTGTTATCCAGATGGTGCCATGACATCCTTATGTCCATCTGGGAGGGCATACAGAGTCTAACCTAAACTATAGCATCTCCTTCAGTGTGGCCCATAACAGGCAGAAAATGAATGTGATTGGGACAGCAGTATGGAATAGCACATAGCTAACAGGTTCCAGAGACTTCCAACATTGCACTGGAGGTCTTTGTACAGGAGGTGGAAAGAACAAGAGATTCTGCATCCACAGTCAGTCAGTAAGTCAATCTGTGATATTAAGAAATGTCTGGAGGCACCTGATATCTCAAAGATTATGGGGTCAGACAACATTCCAGAAATAGTATGGAAGACTTGTGCTCCTGAATTTGCTGCACTCATAGCCGAGCTGTTCAATTGCACCTAGCACCTACCAGACAATGTGGATAATTGCCCAGGTATGTCCTGTACACAAAATGCTTGGTGAATCCAATGCTGACAATTACCGCCCTATCTGTCTAATCTCGATCATCAGTAAAGTGATGGAACACATATCATGGTAATACTTTCATTTGACTCTTGTTTAGCAATAACTTGCTCAGTGACAGTCAGTTGCCAAGTCACTCAGCTCCTGGCCTTGCTTCAACCTGGATAAAAGAGCTAAACACCAGAGTAGAGACAATAGTGACTACCCTTGACATAAAGGCTGCACTTCACCCAGTGTGGCATCAAAGAGCCCTAGCAGAACTGGAATCAATGGGAATCAGGGAAATCTTTCCAATAGTTGGAATTATGTAGTCATATGAAGAAAGATGACAGTGGAAATTGGACAGCAATCATTTCAGCCCCAGGACATCACTGCAGGGGTTTTACCTTCTTTTCAGGCTTACAGGCTGTGGCTGTCCTCTAGCTGTCCTCTGTCAGTCAGCCAGGCCAGAGTGCTGTCAGCAATGCTAGCCCAGACCTTTGCTAAAGTGGTGCAGTGCATGTTTAGGCCATCTGAGTCCAGATTTCAGTTTTCTTCATTACAAGTCAATGACTTCCATCAGCCAGGAAACAGTCAAAGGCAGTGACAAATAAAAGACAGGTACAAGGGAAATGCATATTGGTAATTAGTTTCATTCTGCCGAAGGTAGAAGCATCTAGTCCAAAACTAGAGGGCATAGATTTAAGGTGAGAGGGAAAAGATTTGAAAGGGACCTGAGGTGCAGTTTTTTCACACAGAAGGTAGTGCATATATGGAAAGAGGTGCCAGAAGAAAGGGTAGAGACAAGTACAATTACATTATTTAAAAGATATTTGAATAGGCACATGAATAGGAAATGTTCAGCATCCAAATGCAGGCCAATTTAGGAAGTCCAGTTGGCATGGGCAAATTGGGCTAAGGGATCTGTTTCCATGTTGTATAACTCTATGATTCTATCTCAATCAACAAGTTGGAAGACACTAGATGCATTAAGATTCATAGTCACAGCCACTGGTAAGGTGAGCTTTACTCTGCAGCAGTTGGCAGAGTTCAGTTATGCGTTCAGAGGTAAAGCAAGAACACCTCAAATAATAGTCATCACCAAAGGTCTAGTGCTAGTGCTCCCTAAACAGCCTTCCTGGGTTGTGATTTCCTGTTGTGAGACCTTCTCCCCAACCTCGACCCTCTTCAAGCAGCTTGTCCTGTTCTGTCTGACCTCTGTTCAATATTCTAGTATGCATCATCCCAAAAGGAAGGCCTACTCCTGCACCCATTTGCAAGAACTACAGCTTTGTGCAGAAACATTGAAGTCAGCATTAAATGGTACATAACGATAAAGTTCTGAGGAAGGGTCACCAGACCAGAAACATTAACTCTGATTTTTTTCTTCACAGATGCTGCCAGACCTGCTGAGCTTTTTCAGCAACTTCTGTTTTTGTAAATAATATATGATCCCTGCTTCTTTAAAAACTTAAAACCGTAAATGACAGCAACAGAAGTGTTGCAGAATTGTAGAAACAGACAAAAGAAATAAGCCACTAAAGATTGTAGGTAGCTGATGACTTATTTTACATCTTTTCTAATGTGACCTCTGTTCAATTTACAGAGAACATTATTTGAAAAAAAAAATGCCTTTTCTCAGGATAATAAAGCAACAGTCAGAGATTCTTTGGGACCTGTTTGTGTCAGAACGGAAAGCTGGTCTGAAGAATATCTTGTGTCTGATTTCACTTTGCCTTCTGATGGGGCTGGGGACCAGTGGCATTCTCTATATATCTTTGCGAGCATTACATTGCAGCCTCATAGTGAGGCTGGCAGTGTGTGGAATCTTTACTGCCATCATTCCTGGGGCTTTGTTTCTGTCAAAGCACCTCAGATGCTTCATTCTAATCATCCTCACCTCATGTGGAACACAGCAAGGAGGGAATGCTCTAATCACAGCTGGCACTGGTGTAGTGGTCTTCAACTGTGCCCAAAACAGCTTTCATAACTTAAAAGAATTGTCACAATGCATCGTCTGCTACTTGGAATGTAAGGTGTCATCTATCAAAGATCTTCTGGAAAGATATATTAAAGTCATTAACTGGTTGCCCAAGTCTCTAAAGGAGAATGCACAAAAATTAAAAATTTCAATTCCTTCCGATGTTGTAACACAGAGAATAGGTAAAGAGCTGCAAGCCTACCTCAATGAAACCAGACGTCACTTGGAGAACCTCAGTCGTCACATCATATCAACATTTGACAGTGTTCTCATGGTTTCCAAAAGTGTAATAGCCACATTTGGTCTTTTGCTGGTCTTAGTAGCCACTGGGCTGTATATCAGGAAGTATTTACACAATGCAGAGTTCGAAAATGTATTCATCACCAAGCACTTTGTAGAGCTGGAAGAAAGGAAAAGCAAACAAGGGAAAGCTGTTGTGCTTCCACTCACAAAAAAAGAGAGAAAACATTTAATTAAGATCCCATCGCTGAAATTAATGGCAAAGGAATGGAAAAACACTGTAAAATTCTTTGCTCCTATTTTGGCAAACCTGCTTCTTTGGGCAATTAATATACTGATTGATTATGGACTGTATCTGCTCATTTCTTCAATAAGAATACATTTTGTGTCTCTGCCTACTATGGACCTTAATTTGTCCCCACAAGTAAGTAACAGAAAATCTACATAGCTTTTAGAGCAGCAATTGTTTCAAATACGTATTATAAAAATAATAGTCCTTTGAAATTTAATAGTTTGTATTGTGACCAACGTATGTCAAAGAAGCTGATTTGAAGGTTCTGCGGGTGACTGTTTCCAGCATATAAGCGGGAACTAAACATACATGAAAGCTCCATTTCTGAAGAAGGGTCCCGACCCGAAACGTCAGCTTTCCTGCTCCTCTGATGCTGCCTGGCCTGCTGTGTTCCTCCAACTCCACACTGTCTTATCTCTGACATACATGAAAGACTTCTGTTTCTCTTTGTCTTGACTAGGTCAATGAGGAGGCTACACATGAGCAAGAAAGAAGAAAGGGTCTCCTGGTGTTCTTGTTTCTATCCAATCCTGTCACCCAGCAGCGATATGCTCTGTCAGCTATTGAGGGGTTTTGGTTGAGAGCAGCAGGTGGTGTTACAGCCCCTCCCCCAATCTTGGTTAGAAAACCCAGCCACAATATAAACAATGGTTCTGAAGATGAGTCATATAGGATTTGAAAGATTAACTCTGTTTTTCTCCCCACAGATGCTGCCAGACCTGCAGAGTTTCTCCAGCACTTTATGTTTTTATTTCAGAATACCAGCAACCATTGTATTTTGGTTTTATAAATGATGGTTACTTGAATCTATGAAAATGCCCAAGGTTTGTTTAATGACATTTTCCTGTTTCTACATAATCTTATGTTGAGAAGAAATTGTAGGATTTGTAGAAATTAGAATATTGTAATCAATGGGCAGTAAACACAACTTTTAATTATCTTGCAAATGATTGAGATAGGATTGGTCACTGATGCACATTTTCATTATTTAATGAACTGACATCAGACATTTTACACCATCTACAAAAAGCTTAATTGAACCTAAGATACTCCCCTGTATTTAAATAATGATAAAACCTTGAACAGTTGTAAAGCAAACCACAGAATGTTACTTGGAAAGGAAAGGTTTAACATTGAGGAAATCTTAGATTGTTTTCTTTGGAATAAGGATACTTATTTGAGGTGTATTGATTGTTAAAAACAAAATTCAGACATACCTCTGGAACAGATCGGGCTTGAGCCCAGTCTTCTGACGCAGAGGTGGAGTCACTACCATTGCGCCACAAGAGCCCTATGTAATTGAGGTGTATATAATGATCGTAGGCCTAGGTAGGGTGAATATAAGAATCTGTTTCCCTTAGCAAGCAACCAATAACCAGGTGTAAAGGCTTAAAGTAACAGAAAGATTATTGGGGTAATGAGGAGAATGCTTTTCATCCTAAATGGTGATTACGTTTTGGTAATCACTGCCTTACAGCATTTCAGAGGAAGCAGCTTTCTCTATATCTCAGAAAATCTTGGATATGCTCCAAGTGTTGCAAAGTGGTATGAGGTTGAAGAGTGCTCTTCTTCAACTAGCAGAATCCAAACAGTATAAATTTCTCCTTCCTAACAACTAGTTCTTGAATTCATTCTAGTGACTGGGAGAATACAATTATAATTAGAAAAACAAGATCTGTTTATAACAAGAGATAGCAGGAACTGCAGATGCTGGAGAATCTCAGATAACAAGGTGTAGAGCTGGATGAACACAGCAGGCCAAGCAGCATCAGAGGAGCAGGAAGGCTGACATTTCAGGCCTAGACCCTTCTTCAGAAATGGGGGAGGGGAAGGGGGTTCTGAAATAAATAGGGAGAGAAGGGGAGGCGGATAGAAGATGGATAGAGGAGAAGATAGGTGGAGAGGAGACAGACAGGTCAAAGAGGCGGGGATGGAGCCAGTAAAGGTGAGTGTAGGTGGGGAGTTAGGGAGGAGATAGGTCAGTCCAGGGAGGACGGACAGGTCGAGGGAGCGATGAGGTTAGTAGGTAGGAGATGGGGGTGGGGCTTGAGTTGGGAGAAGGGGATAGATGGGAGGAAGGACAGGTTAGGGAGGCGGGGACGAGCT